AAAGTTCATAGTTCGGGAAGAAGGAGGCGGGAACCGGGGAACATTCAAACAAAACTTTAATAATAAAATAAACACAAAACAGCACAAACAGAACCAAAACACAAAATAAAGTCCAGGCCTGGTCCTCTCTCGTCCAACACTGTCTTCACTCCTCCTTTTATCCTTCCGGAGCTCCTCCGTGGGACTCGAGACTGGTGAGTGGCACATTATCATTTACTCCACCGGCCTCACTCCGTTCCCACGGCTCTCGGCCCCGCCCTCGTCACAATCACCAACAGCAACTTCTCTGTCAGCATCAGTTTGTAGAGGAGCTCTGATCACATGATAGTCACCAGAAATGGCTTCTAGTCGCTGTAGATCGCAGTGACTGTAAATCTTTATTGGGGCCCACTTTATATTAGGTGACCTTAACTACTATGTACTTTCATTTAAATTAGTCATTTGATACAATGCACTTATTGTGTACATACATATTTTTACGTTGTACTTACATTTGAAAATACCGTCCTGTAATTGCATGTGTAATTACAATTAATTTCTGTAGTTACATCTATAATTGACCCTATCTCTACCCCTTAAACCTAACCATACCACCAAACCTGTCCATAACCTCACCCGTGTCCCGCTCAATAGCAGCAAAAGTGTTTTGCAGTTCAACATGAACACAATGGTACATGGTGCCTAACAATTCATTATTTTATTATTAAGTACATAGTATTTAAAGACACCTAATATAAAGTGGGGCCCTTTATTATACATATTTTGAGTAATTTAAGACATTATTATTTAAATATGGATGAAATGTTGATTGAAATACATTATATAATTTTATAGGTAATATCTGTCTATAGATTGTGTTTTTGCTGATTGAGAATTGCTGCATGATTTGATTTGATTTGACTTGATTTGATTTGATCTCCAGACATGTTAATGTCTCAGACACTTACAAAACGAAGAGCCATTTCATTTCATTTAGACACACTGTATGAACAACAGATACTTAATTCTGCCATTTAAATCCACTAGTACGTTTCCTTGCGATTTCGTCTTGACAAATTCCATGTTTTTTTCAGTAATGTAATATGGAGTTCAAACAGCATGGGAGAACATCTGAAATCTGTGGAGTATAGCATCATACCGCTCTGATCGGCAAATTAATGATGCTGTCAAATTTTCAAAGAGCTTGATTCCCCAGTAAGAGATTAGAACACAGAAAATGAAGGCGGACATGGCATAGGAGATCAGGCCTGCTTTCTGATGTGCCAAAAACAACAAGCTTGTTGACGGCGGTCACGTTGTCTCTTGCACCAGCAGGGGGTTTGGATTCAGCCGTTTTGGGTTGTCATGCCGCCCAAGTAATCTCAGAGCTGTAATCTAGGCAAAAGACACCTAATATAAAGTGGGGCCCTTTATTATACATATTTTGAGTAATTTAAGACATTATTATTTAAATATGGATGAAATGTTGATTGAAATACATTTTTTAAATGGATTTTTTACTAACTACTATTAATTAAGCTACCTGTGAATTAAACAATTATAAATGCTATAAACATATATTGTAGTTCCCCTAACTCCACAACAAATTCTGTAAATTTAATGGTATTCATAACAGAACAGGACTGAAAAATATGAATATAAAACAAACGATATTGGCATTCATTATAAACAACATTTATTATAAATGTCAGGCTAAACAATTTAATTTAAAGTGTAACTAACACACACACACACACACATATATATATATATATATATTTTATTTATGTATGTATATATATATATATGAGATCAGGCCTGCTTTCTGATGTGCCAAAAACAACAAGCTTGTTGACGGCGGTCACGTTGTCTCTTGCACCAGCAGGGGGTTTGGATTCAGCCGTTTTGGGTTGTCATGCCGCCCAAGTAATCTCAGAGCTGTAATCTAGGCAAAGGGTGGCTGCTTTGCAGGAGCTCAAATAGAGCACATTTTTTGTGCATAAGATTTGGTTTGGTTTTGTAATTCCCATACTCCCGTTTGTGTTATTTCATAGTATTTTGAAATGTAGAAGAATGAGTTGTCTAGACTTGTAACTGGTAATGTACATTCCATGATTGTTTCAATTACCTCTCTAGTACGAGAGTGGAAGCTCATCCAACTCAGTCATGCTGCATATCCAAAAGTCATCGTTCAGATTCTTTTTTTCCACATGGTTGACACAATGGACTGTTTGCCAAACCACGGCTGGTTTTAAGCTGTTGTCTAATGACATTGTCTTGATTTCAGCTGCTCTTTTCAACTCTGGAAAACACAAAACAGCACCATCATGAGTCTGTCCATCCAGCTGTGATGGGTTAGGGAAGATGGGCTCCAGCAGACTGGCTCTCAGCACCAGATGGGCCCTCGATGATGAAAAGGGTTTTAATCTCTGGCCAGACATCACTGAAGCAGAGCACGCTCAGACGCTTTTCACTGGGCTTCACGTTGAATGCTTAAAGACATGCAAATGCATTTCAGCCGAAGATTTGGATTGCATCGTCCGTCTTTCATCCAGAATGGTGCCATAGTCCTGGAAAATGCAAATTGAGGAGCATGCCACATATAATACCTCAGAAATCACCATAAGAGAACAGGGACTGGCATACTCTGTCTTATCTGTACCCGTCTTTTTTTCCTGAGCAATGCTCTTGGGATAGCTCACTAGCAAATGATTTCACTTTGACAGTGGTTCAATCACCAAGTCACTGTTGGTTTCGAGAAGCCATTCTACTGGACTACTATATCCAGTTGTATGGGGTGGATCACATGAGCGTCGTTGTCTGTACTCCATTGGTTTTCCCCGCATTGTGTGTAGCTGCTCATTTGCATAAACTGTACTAAACTGTAAAACCATCTTTGCACTGAAGTCATGCTGGCATTGGCATCTCGCTTTAAAAATGAATGACTTCTAATTGTCTGATCTGTCTTCTAATTGTATGCGGTGTAAACACCATTTAAGGCATGGGATTGACAAGCACACTTTTAAAAAATAAATGAGGTTTTCACAGCAATGCCACTGAAGAACCATTTTTGGTTCCCCAATAAAAAAATGGAAAATAACCATTTTTTGTTAGTGTGAAGAACATCTAAAGAACCGTTTCCACTATAAAGAACCTTTTGTGGAATGGAAAGATTCCACGGATGTTAAGGGCTCTTCATAGGAACCATAGATGCCGAGTAAAGTGGAACAATTCTGACAAGAAGTACTGTTCCACTGAGGAAGTGCTGTAGGTGAATTTGTGTAGCCGCTTACAATGATTTAAACCTGTCTGGTCCTATTTGCCAAAGAGTAAAGGCCTGCAAGTTTTGTGTGTTTTGGACAGTGTATGCATATTTTCATTTTTGTATTTTGTTTCTCTTGGTTCTTAATGAATATGTGCACAAATAACTGAATATATCACAGTCTGTCCTACATTCCTCTCTCTGAGTTCGTTTTAATTAAATTCTTTTGTTGAACTGTTGAAGTTACATCATACGTGATGCGACATTCTCAGTGGTTATTGCCTTTCATTTTCTGTGCTAGTTTCTGAGCTTCTTTTCATAAAAGCACGTCCAAGCCCATCAAAGATGCATCAGAAAATTCTTCCCAGAGTCCAGTTTAAGAGGGAATTATAGATTAAAGGCTCCTCCGAGCCGAGATCTAATAGCTTTGTGCCGTTGCAGCAGCATGTGGGCTGGTGCTGCGCCGCTCTGGCCTTATTGGACCCGCGCACGCAGTCTTGGCATCTGGGTGTTTGTGCGACACGGCTTTGAAGTTTGCTACTATTCCCCAAGTGGCCGCAAAACAACTTCAGATGCTTTTCCGACAGACGTGCCACGTGATGCACTTAGCAGTCTCCTCCCAGGGATGTTTGGGAGCACGAGGAGCAGACGAGGGACTGCCAACATGCCAGACTCTACCACACGCCACCGTCTGCGCTGCGAGGGTTAAACGCTTTGGGAGCACAGATTATTTGATATCATTATTATGGACATGGTGTGCTGGAGTATAAATGGCTGTTAGCGTCAATTGTGCTGTCAATTGATGACATACACCAAATCTTTTTTAAATATTTAAAGTGTCAAATGGTGTTTAAAGAGAATATGAGAGTTGGATTCTCAATACTTCATTAATAAATGTCCACCCCATACCTAAACTTAACAACTACCTTACTAACTATTAATAAGCAGCAAATTAGGAGTTTGAAGTCATAGTTAATAGTTAGTTAATAGTGAGAATTGAACCTTAAAATAAAGTCTGACTGAAATACGTCCAATTACAGAAGAGCAGTGTGAATGCAGTTTTATGTTAAGGGTCTAGTGGCTTAGAAATACGTTGTGCCCTGTTACTACTACTAGCAGTGAGTATCGCTACTTATTCTCCATAACACTGTCCATTTGTACTCAAGTTTCAACCTTCGGTCAGTGTGTCAGACGGTCCTTGACTCTCAGAACGAGGTCTCTGACAGGTCTGTCAAGGGCTAATTCCTGTGGTAATGCCTCTGATTCCTTCTGTTTTTTTGTAATTCATCTACTCTTTTTCACTCTCTTCAACGCTAATGCAAAAGCACATTGGTAAGTGGTCTCAGTGAGGTTTTTCATCTTCCTGAAATGAGAAATGGCAGTGGTACCTCATCCCCATGGGTAAACCGACCTTTGATTTGCGCTAATTTTGCTCATTAAATCAAACCGCTGACCTTTGTGGAATGCCGAGCTTTGATGTTGAACTCTTGTGGCTCAGAGATCAGAGGCTGTGGTGTCTGTTTTCCTCTTCCTGGCTGGAATGGGCACAAATGCTCCACTCGTCCTGCTTGGCTTGTTTTGCTTATCCTCTTTCTCTCTATCCGGACTCTTCTGTCTTTTTTCACTTTGCATTTGTTTCTGTTTTACAGCCTAAATGTGTTGAATTCCCAGATTCAGTATTCCATAAACACATCATCTGTTCCATGAATGGGTGCATCTTAACGGATTTACAAATTTCGTTGTTTGTGTTTCTCACCAGACCATCTCTGATCTGGAGGTCCAGGTGCATTCTCTGAGGAAGGAGCTGTTGGCAGCCCACAGTCAGAGGAAACAGCTGCTGACGGAGTTGGGTGTGTTGCAGGAGGAGGAGCGACAGCGGGCCTCTCGGGACCAGCAAGCAGCTCTAGACCGTCTGCGGGCCGAGATGGATCAGGTGCGGCAGGACCTGGAAAGAACCCACAAGGCTGAAAGAGAGCTGGCCCAAGAGAAGGTTGGTGTGAAATGCAGGCAATGTATTTTTGGCATTCTAGGTTGCAATTCAGGTCGCTCAACCCACCTGCATGATTTGTATAATGTGACAGGCCGGTCATCATTAGCCTTGTTCTAAACCTTATTGAGTTACTGTCTAAATAAGAAGCTCAATTTGAAGACAGCAACTTGGATGCTCTTACACTTAACACAAAGATTCAAATACTACTCTTATGCAATTGATACTAACCATGGATAAAGTATTAATACATACATGCCACCATCTTGGAGTGGTCAACAGGGCTTGTTTGAATAGAAGTCAGCAGTATTGCTTTTGGCTGGAAGCATATCATTGCATAATAAAATGACTGTCTGGGTGCTAATCTTCCCAACGTTTGTCATGACACATTCATATTGTAGAAAACTGTATTTGGAGGTTACAACAAAAAAGGGAAGTCACAGGAATTGTGGGACAGGCATAATTTATTTCTGGCACTACCAATTATTTTCTTTTGATATTATCTATAATATGCAGGATTATCAGATGTTTATAGCAGAACAAATCCTGTGAAAATCAGTTGGAAAAGACAGGATCTGTCAAATCACTGTTAATTAAAGGATCTTGGCCTTTCCAACATGACAAAAATGTAGATGTATTGCCATGAGCTAATGTGGTGTCTGTGCATTAATATTTACGATTCCCATGTTTCTGATGTTAGCATTTTGCTATGTTATGATCACACTAGACTTTGAGCATGCACAATTTCTTTGGACGCTGCAACCATAGATATGTATAAGTAGATGCCCTATTAGCGGCTGTTTCTGTGGGCCACTATACATAAGCCGTCCGCCATATTGCAATGTTTGTGAACACTCGAGAGCAAGTTGCTGGTGCATCTGCACTGCAACTTTAGTTATGCACATTTATATATGCGTTACACGCATTTATATATTCAGTAGACTTCAGAAGATGCTTTTGCTAAACTAACACAATACAACAAGACAAAGCATTTAGCTAAGAAGGCATTTAAAAGGGACTTTAGTTTAAAAACCTGTAATATTGAGTTAATACATATTAAAAACACAAACCAACACATTCTTACCTGTGAAACGTCAACCAGTTTCGTCAGGAATTTAATTTTGTGCGTTTTTACAACCAGGTGCTGAACAATGTTGTTGCATATTGAAACTCATTGATTGTTATTGTGAGTGACGACATAGACCGTTCCAAGATGGCGGATGTGGCATCTACTGTATACATTTCTATGGTTTCAACGGTTGTGATATGATGGCATGCATCTTTTTAAAAACTTAAATTAAACTCATAACACATAAGAATAAATCCAAAATGTAAAAACATACAATCTACTACACTTTCCTCCAGCACTGTAGTTTTAAATTTATGTTTTTTTCGATCTTCTGTTGGTCCCACGGTTTCGGTTTCACGTGATATGGAAGATTTCACCAACTTGAACTTTGGAATGCAGCAAAATGCGAAACAACTTCGCATGAGATGCATTTCCACACTCCTGCATTCGCATGTGTATGAATGGAAGTCAATGGAATGAAATCAGTGAGTTTTTTCAGACTCAAATCTCATTCAGTTAAAATATTGAGATGTGAGAATGATGGTAGAGAAGAAGATTTTGAGAAAATGATTTCAGAAGACTATGAATATAGAGCGTGGACTTTTTTTTTAGGTGTTTATAGAACTGTTCTGATTCTCCAGTATGATTGCTATGTCTATGTAAGTTACTCAGTGTTAACGTCACACTTCACACGTTCCACAATCAATTTCCAAAAGCCAGGATTGCTTGTATATGATCAGACTCTGTTTCTGGAGAAAAAAATGTATTAATTAATCACATGCACCTGTTGAGCACGCAACAAATAAAGTTAAACTTATAAACAGATGTATGAATACACAAGACTAGCATCTCACATAATCACGTGTGTTGCGTGTGTATACACAAACGCATTCGCACATGTTCATTGATGGGCTGTGTTGGCTTGAACTCCAGCGCTGAGGGAATAGATCACTTAGTATTTAATTAAACACATTAGCCCCTCTTTGCCCCGGCTCTATAAAGGTTGTGCAAGCAGACTTGGGCGACTATACCGGAAATCCTGCGTCCTTTCTGTTTTTAAAGCTCTTGATTCCAGCCGCAGAAACGAGGGCTGGAAAGCGGCTGTAATCCAGCACAGGTTGGCCAGGAACCGGCTAAAGGTGGTATTGATCAGAGGGTAATCCTGATTAGGCCCATCAAAGCGATTCGTTTTCATTAAACTCGTGCACCGCTGCTGACTGCACCCTCCCCCAGGACATCTGCGGCACATTAGCGTGCCATTTGGCCTCTTCATAAATCCTGGGCCTACATTTTGGAACCATATGTGAGTACATTGCTGCACGTAAATCCCATCTGAAGAGAATTCCGCCTCGCTTTTCCACTCTCAGGCTGACACGTAAGGCTTGTTTACAAAATCAGTCTCTGTTTCTGCCACCCCTCATCTGATACTCATCCTGACCTGCGGCTGAAAACTTCCTCTGAAGAGACTTCAACAAAGTCTGTCTCTGAGACTGATTGACACACTTCAAACTAGCGCTGCCAAAGTTAATGTGTTATCATGTTTTAATATTTACATTTTATTCAGTTAGCACATTCATCATTTGGTGAAAAATAAGACTTGTTAAGTTTAGAAAATAAAGCTTGCTTAGGGGCTGTTCACACAAAATGCGTTTTTCCATTCCAATGCACAACTTTTGTCCATTGTTTTTCTATGTAAACATGCACTGGACGGATGTGTATGACCATTGTACTCGTGTGTTTTGCAGTGTCTCTCACATGTCAAGTTAAAAGAATGTCAGTTCCAAAACAGTAGGCCAATCAGAAGACCACAGAGGCGGGGCAAGCATTGCAAGTTTTTGTTTACAGTAGCAAGTTGCCGTGCCAACTGTTTTATTTGATGGCAACATGGCGGAGGAGGCATTCTGCTCTGCATTTTGTTTAAAAACCATTCCTGAGCACTGCAACTCGCATTATAGACACAAAGACGCGTTCACTATGAACAGCCCCTTAGTCTTTCATCAATGCTTCTTCAACCTCTCAAATTTCCAGTTTAGCCCACTTTTAAAAATTCAATATAAAATTTTTAAAATCAGTCAAGTTGTGAGTGCAGAAAAAGATGAAAAACAACCTAAGTCAATGCAGCCCAGTTGAGAATTTAGCTACAGTACTAAGACCATAATGACCCTTTGAAGAAGGCACCTTGTGTCTCAAAGGTGTTATTAACGGACAAAATTTGCCACATAATGGTGTTGAGTCTTCAAGTTGGTGAGAACATTATCATGTATTCTGAAAATTATCATTCAGATGTAGCAAGAAAACATAAGTGTGAGGTATTCAGGGATATTTCACCAAAAATAAAAATTAATTTTTTTGCACTCACAGTCTTCTTCCAAACCCACTTACATTCTTCAGTGGAATACATAACTGGAGTGACAGTTGAACATCTCCTTTTGTGTTTCATGAAAGGCAGAAAGTCATACCGGTTTGAAACTTGAAGAGAACTGTCCCTTTAAGGCATTTCTCACTGAGCGATGCAGATTAGTCATAAAGAGAAACACAACAAATGGATGCTCATATGTATTCTGCGTAAGGCATGACTCTTGTGAGTAAGTAGTGTCATGATTACTATTACAGATGTAGATAAATATGGCATAATGAGACAGATGATGTTAGTGCTGGCCTGTGAGAGTGACCAGGCTATTATAATGCAAGGTAAAGGAGGTAAACCGGCTCTCTGATCTCTCTCTGGCCAGAGGCGCAACGCCAGACTCATTCCTCCAGAGTAAAACTGTGTTATCCTCTGAGGATTAACAAAACATCTGACTCACACACATATACATGTGTCTCATTTTGCCACTGTTTCATAGCTCACCATTGCAGTCCAGTACATGAGTCATCCGTGGTGTTCGCAAAGTCAATCACTATTACTCATATTTAGAGTTAGAAATTTGAACAAACCTCTAGCCCTATACTAAATTTTGGCGCCATTTGTGCTACAAACATAAATGATTTCTTAATTGACTCTTTTTTTATGCTATCAGACATACGATTTTTATCTGGTGGACAATAAAATGGACAGAAAAATCCCATAAGTCCCCTGCCTTTGAAGTGCATAGCCTTTTGATGTGATAGTTGGTAAAAAGATATAGTATAGTAGGTTTAGGCTCTTTTTGTTAAGGCTAGTAGGCAACCACGCAAAACGCCTTAGCATCCTATCATTGTGAAGACAAGAAAGCACAACTGCATTGACATTCTCTTCAGAAAATGTAAAAACTAGTTTCTCCTTGTTGCATGATAGTAGAAACGTTACTAAGATAAATCCTATTGGTTTCATAGATTATTAGCCAGAATGCTTTAAATGCAGCTAATGATTTAGCCTGGTACGTTATCTCTCCCCAACTGCGTCAGAGCTTCTTTTTTTTGTATGTTTCAGAGGGAAAAGTTTAGCTATTTTCATTTGGAAGTTTTTAGGCTTTTAGATTTGTAGTGACTTGGCATGTTTCTAAGCTGAAATTTCTTATTCTTTTGATGGCGGGAGAAACGCTGTCCTCGGCAGTCAACCGCTCCTGAAATGGCCAGCCAGGGTTTGAAGACAGATTCCAGAGAAAAGGGAAAGAGAAATCCATTAAATCCATGAATGGGTTTTCATGAAAGACACAGGCTTTTTGAAGCGGAGCTTGTGGCATAAAATAATACGAAACAGAATATCAGATGCGATAAGATCATGTGTTAGATTGTTCCAACGTCAGACGCTTAGCGAAAAGAAAGGAAGATGAAAGTGAATTTATTCCAGTCTCTGTTAACAACAGAGGTTTATCTGGCTGTGGCTAGTGTATGCGCAAGTGTGTGTGTGTGTGTGTGTGTGTGTGTGTGTGTGTGTGTGCGCGTGCGCGTGTGTGTGCGCGCAGACACCAGTACCCAATCTCCATCCACCACAGAGAACCCTGGGAGCCTT